TTTACACATTCTAGACATTGCCTATTGACATCCCACCTTTTACTTCTTTTTTTTTTTTTAAGATTTATTTATTTATACAACATTCTGCCTCAATGTATGCCCGCACGTAAGAACATGGCACCAGATCTCAGTACAGATGGTTGTGAGCCACCATGTGGTTGCTGGGAATTGAACTCAGGACCTCTGGAAAGAGCTTCCAGTGCTCTTAACCTCTGAGCCATCTCTCCTGCCCCCCACCTTTTACTTCTTAAAACTGAAATATACTTGCTAACTAGATAGTACTTAATACTTAATAGTGTTTTAACTATCAGTGAACGTATACTTCTAAGTCTCGTGTATTCCTTGTTTCTTTGCTACATGGTTTGGTTAACTTTTATTCTTTGTACACAACCCAGTAGTTTCTCAGGACATTTTGTTCATCCAGTCCAATCTATTAGGTAATCCAGGCTTGCTTGTCTCTGCAACTTTCCCTTCTTTTGCTCTGGTGAACACTGCTTGCTGACTCCATCTGTCAGCTGTCACCTGGCGACTTTTCAATAGCCCCACAATTCCCTTTATGTCTCCTCCAATCTGGTTGTTTCTTGGATACTTTATTCCTGTTTTAGTAAAGCTTTTTGCCTCCTTTGACAAGTCTCTTTGAAAGGAAGGATGAAAAATATAATTTTGTTTTTTTTCTTTTCTTCTAAGACCGGGTGTCTTCAGCTGGGAATGCATGCAGCTCAGACTAGCCTTAAACTGAAAGTCCTGCCTAGGATCACAGGCTTGTGCCCCCACCTCACTTTAGGGTATTGTGAATGTAGGCGAGATTTCTACCCCTAAAGCCCAGATTGTTTTTTTTTTATATTTATTTTTTATTATGTATACAATATTCTGTGTGTATGTCTGCAGGCCAGAAGAGGGCGCCAGACATCATTACAGATGGTTGTGAGCCACCATGTAGTTGCTGGGAATTGAACTCAGGACCTTTGGAAAAGCAGGCAATGCTCTTAACCACCGAGTCATCTCTCCAGCCCGCCCAGATTGTTTTTAAGCTGTCTGTCTCACATATGACTGAGGACTGGCACAGTGGCTCAGTGCACAGGCCATCTAGACAGTCTGAGTTTGATCCCCAGCATCCACACGGTGGAAGGACTAAGTCCTGCAAACCTGACATGCTCCCCAACACCTCCACACATGCAAAATAATTAAAAAAAAAATAAACAAAGAAAAAGAGTTGAAAATAATTTCCCTTCAGATTTTTGAAGGCATTTGTTTTCTCCTTTCATTAATAAGGGGTTGATTTGGTGTCATTTCAAGACTTGGCTTCTTTCTAGAAGGCTTTGGGGCATTCTTTTTATTTCTGGGCCTCTGTGTTGCTCAGGCCGGTTTTTCTGTCCTGGGCTCATACCATTCTGGCTCAGTGTCTGATAAGCTGGGAGTAGAGGTATGTATTGGCTTTGCTTCATGGAGATCTTTCCTCATGCACTGTGCCAGCATTTGGAGTACCTAGAAATCAACATCTGAATGGATACTATACTAACCTTTTTTCTTCCTCTCTGAATTCTTATTACTTGTTGGACCTTCCAGATTGATTCTTTGTATCCTTTTTGCTCTATTATTTTTGAGAATTTCATATTACAAGATTTCCTATTAGAACCATTTCAACTACTTATTTATCCAATATATCAGGGTTTAGTTATCTGATATATTGCTATTTATGTATGTCCAGACAGGATAGAAACAGGTATACCAAGGCTTGGGGGAAAATGAAATCAAATTGACCTCCAAGCAGATGTAAGGCTGAGAACGCAGCGAGAACCCCGGTCCTACCCAGCCCTCAGTTCTTACAGCCACTTTAAGCTGTTTCTGTCATCACTGCAGTTGCACAAGTATGTGGCAGCCAGCAACCTTCAGGAGCCATTTCTCACCTTCCATTATGGGGATTGAACTTTTCCCTGAACTCAGGTCAGCAGGCTTGTGTGGCAAGTGCTTTTACCTGCTCAGTCATTTTGCCAGCCCTCAGAAGTTCTAAGAACTCTTTTATTCTTCAGTTTTCCCCGTGAGTTTTCTTTATGGACATGGTATTTTCCCTGAGTTTTCATAATCCTAATTATAGCTTTCTGCCCCTAATATTTTGGAATATCCTACTTTAGCAGAGCTTGTTTCTCTTATTGCTTTGTTTCTGCTTCTCATGCTGGAGGGTTCTTCAAATGTTTGAGCCTTGGCTTTTACTGCATGCAGGGCACAAAAATGCAGGTTGGAGCTCTATGTGCAAGGGGCACTATTAAGTCTCACTGCAGAGTGGTAAAGCAGGGGAAGTCTTTCTTTGGGAAGGTCAAGGAAAGGAATGTGTCAACATTCAAAGGCCAATTTTTCCTCCCTGTAGTTGTTTTTGTCTAGGGGGGTTCAAGTAAATGTGTGGATGCAAGGCTCCAGCACTCACAGAGTCTCTCTTAACTCCTTAGTCGACTTAATACCCCATCCCAACCACATTTCTGACAGAGTCGAGTCTGACATCTTGAAATCCCATGGGACTTATCGTGCTGGGGGCGCAGACTCCGGTCTGGAAACCTGTGACCTTTTGTCTGAGAGAAGGCATGGCAGCCTGCACTGACCTCAAACTGGCTTAGGACTGAGGATGATCACGAGTTCCTGACCTCCCTTCTCCTACCTTCACCTCCCAAGTGCTCCATTACCACAGTAACTTCTACACAGATCTTGAGATAACAATCATGCCCCATGCCTGGTTTCATGACCTTCTTAACATTTTTCTTTGGTGATTTCTCCCTACCATTGCTCGCAGACTTAACTATTTCTTGCAGAGAAGAGGCAGTCCCCTGGCTCGGTCTGTAAGTGGCAATGGTATGTGTGCAGGGGTTTCTGTGAGCTCCTTGTTCCATGCCTCTAACCCTTTTACCTTCCCCTAAGGCTCTAGACCAGCAGTTCTCAACCTGTGGGTAGAGAACCACTTTGGGTGGAATCAAACAACCTTTGTTGCCTAAAATCAGAAAACACAGATATTTACATTACAATTTGCAACACTAGCAAAATTTACAACTATGAAGTAGCAACCAACACAATTTTATGTCTGGGGGTCACCATGTAAGCAACTGTATTAAAGGGTCGCGGCACAGAAGTTTGAGAACCACTGCGCTAGACCTTACACTGGCTTGTTAGTAACTCTACATCACCAAGAAGAATCATCTACTCTAAGCCACCTTTTATTATTCCATGAAGTTTTAATCTTTGATTTATGTGAACGAGTGCTTTGCTCACACGTATGTCTATGTACCGTGTGCATCCTGAACTGGAGTTATGCTCAGTGGGTGCTGGGAGTCAACTGGATCCTGAGGACAAGAGTTCTTATCCACTGAGCCATCTCTCTAGCCCTCACATCTAATTCTCCTGTTCTCCACCTTCCTACCACTCCCCCAGGGCTCGGAGGTCTCTGCTTTGGAGGCGCTCTGGCTTTACTTCCTGCCCGAGACGACTTCAAGCAAGGCTGTTTGGTGAAGCCTCCTCTACTACCCTAATAGAAAAATCCCTTCTTAAAGTTCTGTCAATTCCGATCTGTGCACTATCTCAACAGATAAAGATGTCTTTTTGTTTGTTTTTGAGACAGGGTTTCTGTGTAGGTTTGGAGCCTTCTTGGCTCTGTAGACCAGGCTGGCCTTGAATTCAGAGAGATCCACCTGCCTCTGCCTCCCGAGTGCTGGGATTAAACACGTGTGCCACCATCACTTAGCCAAGATCAAGATGTCTTATAGCTTCTTAACTGTCCCATAGGTACAGGCCATCATCTCTGTATGCTCTCTCCAGACACTGGATCCTGGACCACAGCCCAGGCTAGCCTGGGACTCTTGAACGGCTGGCTTCCACTTTCTAAGTGCTGACAAGTGTCACTACTATGCCAAGATCTTTTTGTTCTTCCTTTTCAAAAATGCCTTTTCACCCGTAAGTAGAGTTCAATAGCCCCGTTTAGCTTATTCCTTTCCACTCAACTGAAACAAAGGCACCTATTTTGCCTATGATGCCAAGTGTGTGACATTTACTATAGGTTAATGTCAAGAGAAACTTAATGACTCACCCTATATGAAGGCAACAAAGACCTCACAACAGGAGAGTACTGAGTTACAGGAGCTGCATAACACAATGACAAACTCCAGTTCTAAGGTCAGAGATCTCTCTAAGCTGCAGGCAGCTCATCAGAAAATGACAAGAGCTACTTCACAGGGTGGACGGCAAAGGTCAAGTGAAACAGCACATGAATAGTTAGAATTCCTGCTACATGTTAAACTCAGCATAAGCGAAAGCATACTTCACAGGAACTTCTATGTTCTTAGCATGTCCACTCTGGCTTTAGGTTTCATTTGCTTCTGGGACAGTTTGCACTTCACTGAAGCAGACAGAATTCTGGATAATAAGGTTAAAGTATGTAGTTATGTCCTGCAAGGTTCAAAACATCTTAGGTGGGTTTCCTTACTCTCCCACTGACCCCAGGGTTTCTCCGCGTAACAGCTCTGCTGGTCTTGAATTTAGAGATCCTGCTGCCTCTGCCTCCACGGTGCTGGGATTAAAGCCCTGTGCTCCTACATCCAGTGGATTTCCTTATCTTTTAAGATGAACGTGGCCCAGTATCTCTGACAGAACCAGTACTGGGTCCACTGGAAAGGGCTAGTGGCAGATGGCTTCACATATGCCTGGCACCATCACCTTCAGGTGGAGCTTGTCCACACCAGGAAAGGCTATGGAAATAGGCTCTGTCACAACACCCCAGACCAGCCGGGTCTATGGAGCTTGGGAAGGAAGCTCAGCCATCCACTTCTGTGAGCCCGGGGAGTGGAATTAGTCAGGTAGCATAGCACCACCTTGTGGCCACCACAACCTTTCTCCCTGCCCTCCAGGTGTTGGCTAAAAGCAGCTAAGTCAGATCATATACGTTCTCTCCTGGCTGATCAGGCAAAGTTGGCGAGAAGTCCAATACACCCCTCTTTTTAATATTAACAAATACAAACAACAGAGAGGGCCAGCTGCTCTTTACTGTTCCCTGAGGGAAAGATGGAGAACAATGCGCTTGCTCTGGTCTACCTCCAACTGCAGGGTCTGTCTAGATTTTCCCCTAGAGTTTTGTTTCAGTCTAACCTCCTGTTCCCAACTTCAGTCAGGATGGGACGCACATGGTTGCCAGCAGTAGGAATACTGTAGTTGCAACTTGTGCTCCATCAAGTCTGTCTGGAGTGTCCATTCACACTTCTGTAGCTAGTTTTCTTGTTCTGCCCTATCTGTTAGGAGGGCAGCCAATAAATACCACAGCCCAGGACGGCAGTCCCCATCAGTCATCTTCAGATGACTCCTCTTCTGCCTCTTTCAGCCACTGGATGAACCTCTGCAGCTGCAAGGAAGCAGAAGGGAGAGCTGTTAGGGGATACATGTATGCCCCTGAGCTTGGTATTGGATAAACAGCTCTGACCACAAAGTCCCTAGAGTTTAAGGTGAAGGACTAGAGCATCCAAGGAGCAGAGGGCAGCCTAACATACCTGTCCATTCTTGCGCAACTGCTGGCCTTTGTCAGTTATGTCTCTTTGACTGAACCAGCTCAAGATTGTTTCCTCAGCCAAGATCTCCAGCTGATAAAAAGCCATCAGAACCTACAGAAAGTCAAAGGGGGACTCTTAGGGTCTCTTGGACCTAGCAAGGATATAATAACAATAAAGGCTAACACTGGAGAGGAGACCTCAGCACCTCCAGGCTCTAAGCTTCCTTGCACAAACCAAGAAGTCTCTTTAAAACGGACAAGAGAGTGGCAGAATGGTATCGTAATGCCAACGCAGGGGTGAAGGGGGTAGGGTGAAGGTAGAGGGGAGGGAGGCAGGAGGATCAGGAATCCAAACTCAACTGCACCACAAGTTTAAGGCCAGTTTGAGGAAAACAAACACATACAAACCAAGTCAAATCACCATCATTACCCCCCAAAGGCAAGAGTGAACCACTCTTTTTGGTACTGAGACAGGCATGACCTGTGGACCTCCTGCTGAATGTTGGTCAGTCTCAATGGCTGCCTCATCAGCACCAGCCTGGCTCTGTGCTGCATAACTCTAGTAGTCAGCATGACAGAGTATGGTGAACTGGTGAACAAGCTTCCTCAGTTTTGTGTTTCTGGGGGGTTCATGAAGGCGAGCTTCAATGCACACGCAGGACACGGAAGTGTGAGATGGTGTTCACCTTGGCCATGGAAGTGACAAGAGCTTCATGCTCCAAGAAGAAGTCCTCGATGGCTGCCAGTGCTTCCAAATGGTCAGCTGCTCGCTTTATGTAGTTCTTAAAAACAGGGCTCCAGGCTTTGAGCAGCTATGGGGAAAGGAGGGGAAGGCGGAAATGGAACTGTGATATGCTGCAGGAATTCCTTAGCATGCTCCTGAAGCTCAACAGCAAAGGCCATCAATACTGAGGACACGGAAGGACAGAGTGAGGTGACGCAGGCAGTACGAAATCACCTAAGAGGTGTTCAGGGACTGTTCCGACAAAAGGTTGGGAAGGATGAGCTTTCTCAGGGAAGGGAAAAGGGGGTCAGAGAGATGCTAAAGACTGACTGAAAATCCCTACCCCCAGCCAGGATTAATCTTGTTCTGGATCAAATCATTGTGGGCTCAGTAACAGCAGGTCTAGTCTCCATGTTGTTTTAGACTTTGGGGTAGTCTTGAGATGGACTTTTGCTGTGTTACTCTGGCTAGGCTCCACTGATTCTTTTGCCTTAACTCCCTTGAAGAGTTAAACTACAGATATATTCCATAATACCTGATTTCCAGTACTATTTCTGAATGTCCCTTTTGGGGCTTGGAATGCCCTCAATCCTGGAGTCTTACAGACCATTCAGTATTAAATATTACTGGACCCTGGGCCCACTACTGCCACTCTAGAAACCAACCACTTTCCAAAGGCAAGTTGAATGAACACAGAAACTCCATAGCAAGCCCACTGACTCCTAATTTCCTTTTAAGACAGCACTGCAAAGATGTTTGGCTGCCTCCACTCAACCCCTTGCACCTGGCCTCAGTCTTTGCTTACAGGAAGCAGCATGGCACAGTAGCGGTTTGGGTCAAACAGGGAGTCCATTTGCTGCAGGGGGAACTCCAGGACTACATGACTCAGGACCTGCATCACTTCCTTCAGGCTAATGTTGTAGGCATACCTGTGGGGAGACACACATGTTATGGTTACTGGTGATGGAACACTTGACAGAACCTGGACTCATGCTAGCAGACAAGTCTCTGGACACGAGGGAGGACACATCCCAGGTGTGGGCGGCACCAGCTTTCACTCGCTGCTTTGCTGCAGATGCCATATGACCAGCTACTTCCAGATCCTGCCAGAACTATATCCTCAAACTGTAAGCCCAAGCAAACCACTCCTTCCCTAAGTTGCTTTCTCCGGGCATTTTGTTGCAGCAGAAACAGTTACCACAGCATGGCTCCAGGGTTCAGCTCTAAGAGCAGGAGGAGAGGAAACCTACTGAGGCTAGATGCTAGTGCTCTCCATGCTCCAAATGCTCCTAGCCTTCTCTTATCCAGTCTCCTACTCTGGAAGAAACAACGTGGAGAGAACATCTTTGTTCCTGGAGAAGCCCGGAGAGGAAACAGGACGGAGTTACTCTTACTTGAGAGAGTTGATCTCCAGGACTAGATTGTCACAGGAAATATTTTCCTCTTTGCCTCGCTGCAGTGTTCCCAGGACCTCATTCTGGAAGACTGAAAGGAAAGAGAGTCACCTTTCCAAAGGCTTTAAGTCAGCTAGTTGTGACCACAGCAGACACGAGCTGTTGGCTGCTGAGACAGCAAAGAATAAACTCCCCACCTTTGACGTCATCCAGTTGAGGGGACCCAGCCCGGCTGTCCAGCTCCTCAGAGTCCATACTTCGCTCACTCTCAGTCTCACTTTCCTCTTCCATATTGATGGTGAGTCCTAAAAACAAAGAAGAGGAGCCACAGACACAGTTCAGCTGGGGGAACCTGGAACCAACAAAACCAGGTGTGCTATGTAACATCAGCACTGAGGAAATGGAGGGTCAGGAAGCTCAAGGGCATTCTCAGCTGCCTGGGTTACAGAGAGCCTAGCCTTTGAAAAGGGGATGGGTAGAGGAGGGGAAGCAGTTATACAGCTCAGCATTTAAAGACACACACTGTCAATCCTCAGGAACCACATGGTGGAAGGAGAGAACCAATTCCAATAAGTGGTCCTTTCATCTCTACTCTCCTGACATGGCACACGCATACATAAAACACACATGTACACATACATGCACACACACACACAAAGTTAAAAAAGTAAGACCAGACCCAAACACCGACAGACAGTATACATTGTGTCATGTCAGTATGAATTGAGGCCCCAATAATAATCAGATTCCAAGGCGTTCAAAGTTCTTAAAACTACTCAGATTAAGTAAAAGGCAGGCAAGCGTAAGGTCTAGCTCACCCCACAGACTCTGCCCTAGTTCCTCCTCTTCCGTCGTGTTCACATCTGCAGCTTTCCAGAGGTATCCTTGGCCTTCAAAGCCTACTTCTGCTGGATTGTAACCTGGAAAAGGCATTGATCTTTTGAGAAGGCCGGCAGCAGCATCGATTTCTCTGGAAAGAAACAGACTTCTCCATGGGGCGGAGATGCACAGATGCCCCACACCTGCTGAGCCTCACACCTTTCAACTTCACTTTCTCCTTTTCCTGATTAGCCCCAGAATCATCACTAAACTGGCCATCATCTTCATCTTCCTCTGCATCCGGAGGGTGCAAAGAGATCACCGAGCCCTCAGGCAGCGTGATATCTGGGCCCACAACCACCTAAGAGAGAAAAGAAGGACCAAGTGGCACAGACTTTCTATACTTTGACAATCAGAATAATGGTTTTGGTTTTATACTAAGCTAAGTAGAAGGTCAAAGAAACTTGGGTCCTCACTTGGGTCCTTACTGATAGGGGAATATGGTCCGCTTGACTTGGCACAATCACCGTTCAGTTCAGGGACTGTGCATACTCTGGAACAGGCCTTACCTGGGAAGTAAGGACACAGTGTGGCTTCAGAGTAACTCGTTCCTTGACTTCAGCTTTGTCACAGAGCAGAGACTGGTGTATTTGTGATCCAGCAGCCACTCGAACTCCCTGCCACAGGTAGGCCTGGTTCAGGACCACATTATCACCTGGTTCAGAATGAGGAGGACTCCTGGTCACTCAGGGCTCCACCTCCAAAACAGAGTCCTTCATGGAGGACAAGCTTATTGACACCAGCCCCAGCTCCCACCTAATTCTGATATTCACCTGCCAACGTCAGAAGCATCCAGTCCTTTCCCAGGTCAGTCTTGAGAGCAAACTGACCATCCTCTACCAAGTTTACAATAATTTTACACTGTACACACAGCTTAACCTAAGAACCTTCAGGATTTCTCAGAATGAACTATAAACCTTATTACAGTCAAGTCCACGTCTGCAAGGAGAATCAAACTACTCCATCTCTCTGTGTATTACAGAATTTGAACCCTACTATTGGATTCAAAAGGCTAGCACTATTCTAGTCTCATATTCTTCAAACAAAGTGAGTTGTCAAGAGGAAAGCCACATTTTGGGAGAGCAAAAAGAATACCGCGAGCCCAACCAGAATACTCAGCATTGTCTCCCATTAGATGGTACCCGGGCAAGACCTCTGAGGGTTAAAGAACTAGCACAAGCCCTTTGCAAACTGTAATGGTTAAACAGAGGTTATTAGTACACATTCACTTGGTTCCAAATGTGAACACAGGAGAGGACATTCCAGAATGAAGTCATCTTAAGAGCCACGCTCGAGCTGGGTGGTGGTAGCACAAGCCTTTAATCCCAACACCTGGGGCAGAGGCTGGCCTGGTTTACAGAATTCCAGGATGACCCTGTCCCCGCTCAAAGTCACATAAGAAATCTTATTCTCTCCTATGTGCCCTTTTCTTTTTCCTTTGTTGTTGTTGTTTGTTTTTGAGATGGGTCTCAGTGTGTTGTTGCCCAAGCTGGCCTCAAAGCCCTGACTCAAGTTATCCTGCTGGAGTATATGAGATTATACACAACTTCCTTCCTCCTGCCCTCCTGCCTTCTTAAATACAGGTTTCAATATATAGTTCCAGGCTGGCCTCAAACTTTTAATCCTCCTGCCTCCATCTCCCAGGTGTTGGGATTGTAAATGTGTGGTGGCTCATGACTTTAATCCCAACACTTGGGAAATGGAAGCAGGTGGGTCCCTAAAAACTCAAGGTCAGCTGTCTAGAAAAAAAAAAAAAAGGTGTGTGCCGCTGGGCGGTAGTGGCTCATGCCTTTAATCCCAGCATTTGAGAAGCAGAGAAAAGTGGATTTCTGTGAGTTCAATGCCATCCTGGTCTACAGAGTGAGTTCCTGGATGGCCATAGTGGTTACACAGAGAAATTGTTTCGAAAAATTCCAAAAAGCCAAACCAAACCAAACCAACCCACCAAAAGGTGTGTGCCAACAAGCACAAGGACTCACCTTCTTTCTCTTCCCACCCCACCCTTGAGATATATTAATTTAATTTTGCCTACATGTATGTATGTGTACCACATGTGCATTAGGTGCCTGAGGAGGTCAGAAGAGGTCACTGGATTCCCACAAACTGCTGTTACAGATGGTTGCGAACCACCATAGGAGTACTGGGAACCAAACCTGAGCAACAAGTGCTCTTAACCAGGGAGTCACCTCCCCAGACTCCCTCCTTTCTTAGATAGCCACTCTGGTTCCTTATTCACAGGACTACCCCTTAGTATCCTCCCTAGCTTTAGAGACACGCTCCAGCCCCGTATCTGTGGGCCTGCTGTTGGAGTCCCCACCTGTGCTCACCAATGTGGCAGTTAGGGCCAATGACACTGTTGGTGATGGAGCAGTTGCTGCCGATGACAGTGCCAGCTCCCAGAAGCACATTCTCCTCCAGGACACTGCCGTGGCCCAAGCTGACTTGAGGCCCTCGGTAGATGTTGTGTCGGGAATGAGTGTAGCTCTGTGTGGTGCTGTCAGTGAAGTTCACTTCTGGAGTGAGAGGGTAGACCCATCGGCGGATGACGTCAGCACAAACGGCTGAGTACATGTGTAGGTTGGAGACCCGGGCACCATACTCCCTAGTTGTCACATGCAAGTGGATCTGGTTCCCGAGGACCTAAAGGAAGAGAAAGGGAGATCACCCAGTCAAGCAAGACAGGAAGACAGTCCCAAAGCAGAACCCTTGACGCCTTCTCCGTGCCTCTCTGCATTTCAGTGACGGCCCAAGTGTCTCCCGGCTTTCTAGCCCCTATCCTCCCTCTGAAGGTTTAATGGGACAAAAGGGAACCAAAGGTCAGCAGAGCAAGAGAACCCCTTCCTCGAGAGGTTTCTGACGCTGTTTCTCACCTCCTCATTCACTAACAGGCCTCGCACAAAATCATCTCGAGTTTGATAGTCAAAGTTGTCTGTGAAGAGTTGAGCTACCTGTGGGGGGAACAGGGAGTGCTAAGGTTAAATACTTTACCAGGAAACAAAGATTAAGTCCCAGAGGTCTGTCAAACCCATAATAATGGGCTATGGGAAAAAAAACCCTGGACTCGGTTCCCAATATACTGGGAATGAGGTAACAGCACCTCTTTACAACAGGCAAGAAAAGAGGGAGAAGATACAATCTCTGGTATTGCCCGAGAGCTCTACTCTCTGCACAGGCCCTTGCTCTGGAGAGCTCACCTGAGGAGAGCAGATGCTGATGTGACAGTCCAGCAAGTCATAGCGAATCTCCACTCCGTCTCCACCGCCCTGGAACAGGTTCTGCGGGAGAGGCCACAGATGCTCTAACTTCCTCCTTCGAGACTCTCAGCCCCTCCTCCCCGCAGTCCCCCAGATACTCACTCACCAAGGGAAACGAAAACCGCCGCAGGCCTTGGGTCTTCTGGAAATGCAGGATTCGGTTGGTGGCACTGTCCACAGCCACCACCACATTGTCCTCGTGGCAGCGTGTAGGGTGGCTGGGTGATGACTCTTTGAAGATCATCGTCATCACGGACACATTCTTTTCTAGCTTGCGTCTTAACCTATAGAGAACATGAGGCAGAGTGGTCTTTAGGGCTCTGCTGGTCCCTAAGTCTTGTCCCTGCCATCTTCCCCACCCTGACCTGTGTTCCTCTAGGGCTTTGGTAATGTTGATATTTGAGACGACATCTCCATATATCAGAAGGAAGTCAGAGCGCACCAAGGCCTTGGCATCGACATCACGGAGGACATCTCCTAGTGATCGGTAAAGGTCTGATGTAATTATTCGAACAACGTTGGGGGATGTAGGATGGCACCACTTGGATTTCCTACAGCAAGGGTGGGAAGAGGAATGGCAAATTAAGCAAATGATCACAGACCTGATTTTCGACCTCCCTTTAGCATTCAAACGTCTCTGTGGCTTCTCTGCGTTCCTGCCAGCGTCCTAGGCTTCAAAGAGACTTATAAACTATAATGAATGGTCTCAGCACCCAGTGTCATTAGTTTTATGTGCTAGAGAAATATGGCTACTTCCTTTCTATACCGCGACTCCCATCTTCAAATATGAGTTTGAATTCAAAACTTTGCTGAAATCTAGGGTATGAAAGTATTCTGGAAACACATTTTTTAATGTCATTTTTCTTGTTCTGAAGTCCTTAACAAATTTAAACATTGTATCACGAAAAACCTGCTAATGTATTAGTCTTTATTTTCCAAACTCATAAATTACCAGACTCACTCTCCCAATTTTCCTTTTTTTTTTTTTTTTTTTTTTTTTTTGTTGTTTTTCAAGACAGGGCTTCTCTGTAGCTTTGGAACCTGCCTTGTAACTTGCTCCGTAGACCAAGCTGGTCTTGAACTCAGAGATATGCCTGCCTCCAGAGTGCTGGCATTAAAGGCATGCATCATCACCACCAGGCAAAGAGCTTGCTCTTGTCCTTGGGGTCAGAACAGATAATATTTGCAAATTTGTTGGAAAGATAAAGATGCCTTTCTAGTAACATACACTGGAACCATCAAATAAAAAGCAAAACTCACAGGACCAAACTTTGTAAGACTCAGAAATCACCTCAGCCATTACAAACTGGAACCCCAGAGCAGAGAGTGCCCAGCAGCCTGCCTCAGGAAAAGGAACGGAAACACTAAACCTTACATCAGACCTGAACAGTTTTTTCCTCGCGCGTCTTAACTTTGTCATAACCGTCCTGAGAAAAAGAAAATCTGGGAAGGCGAAACGTGGAAAGGAAAAGGTGTGGGGCCTTACAATAAGTGTTCCTTGATCTGAGAAGCCTTCCAGCAGCAAAAGACAAAGGTTTCCTGCACACCGGTGGCGGTCAGGAATTCCAGAGTGTAGTCGATTAGCGCCACATTGGCCAGGGGCAAGAGGACCTATGGGGCAGGATATGAAAAAGTCTGAGGTCTTAATCTGAGTAAACTTTGGGTACCCCACTGCAACAATGCTCCTTCTAGCAGCGTTTCCAGACACTACAGTTTATCTCTCAATTCTAAAGTACCAGGTTCCTGCTTGTGCTATTCATGGGATGCTCTAAGGTTTAGTCTAAGGTACTGGGATTTGGGTTTAGTAGGCATGGCTATCAGACACAGACATGTTATAAGGAGACCAGTGCTAGTGAGGGATCAATGTTGGCCCTAAATCATAGCTCCAGAACCCTAAGCACTAAGGCAATTCTGAGGGTGACGGCAACCCGTTCGGTCGTCGTTCCAGCAGATGGAAGGAAAGAAAAGCACGCACCAGCCCGAGATGCAGTCTTTTTCTTTTAGGTATAGTACTATCGCCATTTCTGAAGCTATGTCTTTTTTTTTTCTTTTTTTTTCGAGACAGGGTTTCTCTGTGGCTTTGGAGCCTATCCTGGAACTAGCTCTGTAGACCAGGCTGGTCTCGAACTCACAGAAATCCGCCCGCCTCTGCCTCCCGAGTGCTGGGATTAAAGGCGTGCGCCACCATCGCCCGGCTTGAAGCTATGTCTTTAACTGCCCATCTCTCTCTGGCAAGGTTAAGGGCAGCGGAGAGCCCTCTTGTGCTAGCAAATCCCCCTTAGGAAGGCTCCGTTAAGCTCAGTTCCCACAAGCCGCCCTCTCCGTTTCTCTCCTAAAACTAGGTGGACAGCCCTGCGAGAACCCACGTTTGCAAGCCACTCCTGGTCAGTCAATCCCTCCACCTTACCCCAACCAGATAAATCCGACTTTAGGATAACTTTCAGAGCACGCTTCACTAACAGCCACAGTGGCAACCTCGTGCAAACCCGCCACCCTCCAGGCCAGCGGGCTGCTCGCGTGTCGGGTGCTCACCCGAGGCTGGTCCTTGGAGATGGGGAAGAAGCGGCGGTTGAAGCTATCCGCCACTAGAACGGCCTGGAGGGGCGGCGGCGGCTCCTCCTCCGTACCCTGGGTTCCTCCTCCGCCCTGGCCGCCGCCGCCGCGCTTGTTCGCTCGGGCGGCCGCAGTCCCAGGTGGCGTCGCAGTGGCTGCCATCTTCTTCCCTGGCAGCTGGGACTTCCGCGGAGAAGCTTGTACCGCACGCAGTAGGGGACAAAAAGGACTAGCAGTCAAAAACGCGAAGGTGTGCCTGCAGGGAGAGGAAAAGGAAGGAGTGCGCATGCGTCTACCCAGGAAGGCCCTCCCCCACCCCCGCAAGGCCTGGGCGGGGCGTGGCTAACCACCCTGGATCTCCTGGCCCCTTTGGGTGATGCGTGCGCAGCAGAGGGGAGGGTCCGCGGAGATCAGCCTCGGTCCACGAGTGCTTCTGTCGGGTGGACTGGCTAAGGTGCATTCGCACAGAGGGGATTTGTGGTGGCCGGGAAGGAGCCTTGCAGCTTCCCCGATCAGAGCACGTTAAAATTTGTAGGCTGTCTGGAAAGATCGCTTGTCTGTTAAGAGCACTTGTTGGATCCGAACAACCTTCCCCAACTGCAGCCCCAGGGTATCTGACACTCCTCGGACCTCCGAGGGCGCTGAGTGCAGGCGCTTTACATACAAACTGGCCAAAACATACTCGTAACCCTAAAAATGAAGTGTAGCTCTCCCTTGCATTCTATCATGTAAGGGGATCTGGCGTCTTTGGGTGGGAATCTGCACAAATACGGAACGTGGAGGCGAGCTCCCCTCCCCCAGTGCTGGAAATACAACCTAGAGCCAAAAGCAGCAGGCATTTCTTAAACTCTGAAGTCAGACCAAGGAAGCACGCCCGGCTAGTAACTGGAAAAACTAGTGCTGGAGCTCATCTGACTTCATAATTCCACAAGCGTTCGGCCTTTTTCATGAGGATAACAACGATTGCTTAACATAGATGAGGCTGTATCCAAGAATACCAGGAAGTTGGGTAGGAACGGGGCGTAGTAGCAAGCTTTCCAGGCTGGACGCTGAAGCGGAGCAGCAGGTTTTAGGGAAAGAAGCTGTGGCCGCGGTTTATAAATCAAGCTTAAGGCGGAGGAAGCCCGGGTGTAATTCTGTCAAACCAAGGTTTATGTAGTAAGTCACCGCGCCCATTCGCACTGGAACCCTTGCTGATCCCACTGCCTGTAGGTTTCGGCTGTTTCCGCTGTTGCTTCCTCTGCCTCCCGTATGTTTTCTCCCAGAGAGTTGTTATCCCGTGTTTCCAGTGTGTCGCTACACTTAGAATCTTCGTGGAACCCCGATGCCGGACGTTTCTTTACTCGCTCAGTTAACGAGGATCCTGTGAGGATGAAAACGTTAGCATAGAGAGGGAAAAGCAGGGCAACTTAGTAAAAAAGTTCAGTTAAATCAATGTCTTACAGGGCACATAAGGGCATATTCTTCTAATACCGATTGAAACGGGAGGATCCCAAGTGGGAAGCCAGCATGGGCTCTGGAGTGAAGCCTCACCACAACAACCGAATAAACAAATTGGCAAACTCGACCAAAATAAGATACGTATAAATGTACGTTCTGGAGGACGTTCTGGAGGACTGTTCTTCTACATGCAGAAGAGAAAGAAAAATGTGTACTTGTGGGAAAGCCTCTACTCATGTGTACACACACACACACACACACACACACACACACACACACACACACTAACCCACACACGGCTCGGAGAAATGCTAGACAGTAGTTTGTGAAGTCAGGAAACACTGCCCCCTGGAGGGCAATGAGATGCAATGCTCCTTCTTTACCAATTCCCGTAGCGTCTATGAAGATGCTTTTTTCTTCTTTTTTTCTTTTCCCTTTTTTTCCTAAATTTATTTATTTATTAAGTATACAATATTCTGTTTGTGTGTATGTCTGCAGGCCAGAAGAGGGCACCAGACCTCATTACAGATGGTTGTGAGCCACCATGTGGTTGCTGGGAATTGAACTCAGGACCTTTGGAAGAGCAGGCAATGCTCTTAACCACTGAGCCATCTCTCCAGCCCTCTTTTCCCTTTTTGAAACAGGGTCTTACTATATAGCCCTGGCTGCTCTGGTACTCACTATACAGACTACAGACCAGGCTGGCCTCGAACTCACAAAGACCTACCTGACTCTGCCTCCAGAGCCTTGGGATTAAAGACCATCATGGCCAGCCTATGAAGTCATTTTTTACGTGAAAGTTTCAGGACTACAGAGTAGGAACTAGCCACATCCATGATGTATATGACAGGCAGAGATCCCGTGGTAAAGATTTTTTTTTCTATTCTGGGGTGGAGACTCAACGAGAAGTTGAGCTTCTTGGAGAGATTAAGTTTCCAGAGACAGCATTGCTCAGAGAAAGAAATAATAACCGAGTAAGTCAGTCTGGGTGTCCAGCCCAGAGCTGCAGGAGTAGTTTCGGGCATGGTGTGAAGCTGTACCTGGCTTGCTAGTTACTCAGCCTCCCACAAGGAATGTGTGTGCTCCAGAGGGGAAGGCTGTAATGTGAAGGAAGGTAGTAGGCTGCCCTTGCTTGTTCAATACTGTTTCAGATTTGTCTTTAAATATCCCGCATCCTGGATTGAGGAAATCCGGAGTCCCTGGTACACTGGAGTGTTTGGCAACCACACGGGTGGCCACTAGGCATCGGTAATTTGGTGTGGGAACTCCCGCCTACAGACATAATTAGCAGAAATAGCCAGCACTTCCCGATGCCTGCCCAAGATGTGGGCTGCAGGAAAGCAACACAATGATGCCTTCTGGGAAATGTCAGGGACAGAAGAAAAGGTCTTAAAATAGCCAGCGAGAAAATATGTTACCAAAGGGAACAAAACTTAGATTGTCCTCATGGAAGCAAAGGTGAAAGCCACAAGGTAAAGGAATGGTTATCCTGGGTGGAGACCAAAAGACCACTGCTGTGAAATAATTCTTTTGTACAACAGGCTGTGGTGCTGGTGGTGGCGCTCGCCTTTAACCCCAGCACTTGGGAGACAAGGGCCAGCGGATCTCTGTGAGCTCAAGGCCAACCTGGTCTACAAAGTGAGTTTCAGGACAGCCAGGGCTATTACACGGCATGTTAAAACTCAGGAACTGACTCACAATTTTCTTTAATTCCAGATGGAGGAGCTCTGACTTCTTTAGCCTCTGGGCACTTGAACTTACATGCACATACCTACCTACACACACACACACACACACACACACACACACACACACACACGACATAACTCAATAGCTGCAGGAAGTCCTCAAAGCTTACCAGATTCTCTAGGTGTTCTGCTCCCTAAGTTCAGGTAAGCAGTGAGGACAGCTGGGGAACACTCTCAGATCAACCTGAAGAAGCTGTCTAGAGGAGTCAGATAAGCTGAGCTGCCTAGAAGAAACTCACACAAGCTGAGCTGTCTGTAAAGAGGCATTCTCCAACCTGTTGAGTTCCTGACAGTTGTGCAGTGAGCTCCACATGCTTCCCTCCAATTGGAAGGTTTTATCTTGGAGTAAACTGCTACATAACATAACTTATTTATTAATGTGTTCATCTATTGAATGTATGTGCGCACACGTGGAAACCAGAGGACAACTTGCAGGAGTCAATTCTCTCCTTCCACCATGCCAGCCCAGGGATTAATCAGGGCATCAGGCTTGGCATAAAACACCTTTTTGTAGGTTTTTGTGAATGCAGCTGTGACATAACAGTGGGGCCAGGAATACCAGTGCATTGGAAAGGCAGAAGCAGGCAGATCTCTGTGAGCCTGAGGCCGTGCTGGTCTGCACAGTGAGTTCCAGGCCAGATGGAGTTACATGGGTGGGAGGAAGGGGCTGCAATAAACACCAGTGTGTAGAAAAACCTATTCCATGAAACCATAGCAGAGAAGTTCCCAAGTGTTGAGAAATAGACATTCAAACCTAAGAGACATTAGAACCCTAAGCAGATGAGACAAGAGAAAGCAACACACCATGCTCAAGATGTTAAGAACACAAAGCCAAGAAACAATATTCAACGCTGTAAGGGAAAATGCCAACTCATAAGAGCAGAAACAGAATTGCTTGTCAGAAACCGTCAAAGCCAGGAAAACACAGAAGGCTATACTTCCAGCCCCGAAAGCAGCTAACTGCCAATCAAGAGCGGTATATCCAGTAAAGCTACCTTTGGATTGTTACAGAGAAATAAGGATATTTCAAATCAAGTACAGGCTAAGGCAGCTTGTGACCATCAAGCCAACTCTGTAGAAGATATTTAAAGGAGTATTGTGTCACAGGACTAAGAAAGACAATCTTAATGATTAGAGCACAGGAAAGATCAAATTTTATAAGAGGAATGACTGAAGAATCCATTGTTCCCAACACAGTGAACCATTGAATTCCTTATAGTGGTGAGAAAGCAAAGAACAAAGAATAAGTAAATGAACCAGAAGACCAATAAAATTATAGGAATTTGCTGTGGAGGTTTGAATGAGAGTGGGACCCCATAGGCTCCTAGGTTTGAATTCTTGGTTCCCAGTTGGGAGAACTGTTTGGGAAGGATTAGGAGGTGCGGGCTTGTTAGAAGAGGTGTGTCACTGCGGGCAAGCGTTGACGTTTCAAAAAGTTATGTCATTTCCATTAGCTTTCTCTGCCAGGTACCTATGCTCCAGCACCATGCCTGCCTGCTCCCCACTGTGGTATTGGTCATGGGCTCACCCTCTGAAACTGGAAGCCCCAGTAAACTCTTTTATAAGTTGCCTTGGTCATGGTGTTTTGTCACTGAAAAATTAGTAATAACCTTAAATGCTAATGACCTCAACTCACCAATAAAGAGAAACAGACAAGCTAACTGGATTTAAAAAATTAGACACAACTTTCTGAAGTCTCTAAGAAAGTACCAATAAAGACAGAGTGTCAAAAGATGGAATACAATCTATTAAGTGAACAGAAACTGAAAATAAGATGGTGTAGCTATTCCTATATCTAATAAAGTAGCTTTCAAACCAAAATTAGAAGAGATTAAAAAAAAGCTGATGCATAGTAATAAAGGGAACAGTGCATCAAAGAGATGTAACAGTTATAAATATGCTTGCACTACATATTGGGACTTCTGGTTTTATATAAAAAAAACTATTGAACATAAGAGGTCAAAACCCTGATACAATAATCGTCCGTGAAGTCAATACCTGGCTGTCATTTCTGGATAGGTGA